ACTCGAACCCGCGACCCTCAGATTGGGAGTCGAGTGCCTTAACCACAAGCGTGCCTTGTCTGTGTTATATAAATTGTTAACATTTTGTGTAACTATTGAAGTTGATTTATGTTTATAAAGCATTGACTTAAGTTGTGAGATAGCAAATTCTACATTTATTTAGTTACGGTTCAGTTATTATTCCTTCTCTCGTTTAGTTCAACGATAAAGATGGAAGGCAGCTAGTCATCCCCACCCACCGCCAACTCTTTGGCTACTCTTTTACCAACGAATAGTGGGATTGACCGTCACTTATAACGCCCCCACTGCTGAAAGGGCGAGCATGTTTGGTGTGACGGGGATTCGAACCAGCGAGTCGAGCGCCCTACCCACCCGGCCATGCCGGGCCTCCAATTGTACTGTGACAAACTGAAAGTAAACTTACTTGTACATTTTCGCAGCTGATCGATCAAGTAACCGATTATGCAAAAACTAATACTGGCCCAAATACTTCACCGAAACTGGCATTCTATCGACGAAAAAAGGAAAAAAAAATCTAGCTTAGAAAATTTACTGGCCTACAGATATTCATATTTGATGTCTCACTTCTAGATATTGATCAAAATTACTAGGTTTTAGTAAAATTTAGAACTTTCTAGTATTCTAACACTTATTTGATCTTAACGTGATGTATCCTCAAGCTAACATCTAAATTAAAGCATTGAAAATGCAGCTCACAACACTGCCTCCTTCCTATATTGGGGAGCTCCTTGAACTGTCGTAACAAAAAAAAAATCACCTTACTAAACTTTCCATTCACCAAGTGTTGCTTTTTTAAATGTATTCATACCTTAGCCACTAGCAGAAATAAAAATGTGAGCTTTGCTTTCAGAATATGTATATTTCATATTAACGGCAAAACTACTAAGGCTATCTATCTACCGTCATCCCTAATTTTGATCTACTGACCAGAGGGAAGGTAGATAGTCAGCAACACTCTACAAGCAATCATCCACACTAAAGGGTTGACTGTCACTTTAACAATGCACATACAGCTTGAAGAAAGAGATATTTTATCGTATCATATAGATTTGAATCAGGCTTGCCAGCCTCAAAATCCAGAGCTCTATAATAAAGCCAATCCACGTCCCATTTCTTTTTATAGTCTTCTGTAACTCTTTATTAGTTTTGGATTAGGTACCTCTATGTTGTAAAGTATCTCCAAACAATAGTTTGCTATTGTATATTAACTTTAAACCAGTCACTTTCTTGTGACGAAACATTTGATTCGGGAGTGATAAGGTCATAATTCTGGGTCTCACTTTTATTCTTAAGTTTTGATTTTGCTTATTATTATTATTTCGGAGTAATTGAATCTAACAGCATATGTTTTAATTGAATCGATGGTTAATGGTGTTAATGAACCGAGGGACACAGAGTGGAAGGGATTGTTTTTCTTTCCCAAAATGTAGTTTCAAACATTTATATTGATTTTAATATTTTTTTACTCATTTTTGTTTTAAAATTTAAGAAGTAATGTTCGGTTCCACTTAACATTTTACAGCATGCTTTGAACACTTCTGAACTGTTGTTTTATTTCATATATTCATCAATATGTTGCTACTATAATTTTCACAAACAGCATTTTTCAGGTTTCATTACTGTTTATTTGAAAACATGGGAAGAAAGTGTTTTTTTTTAATTATGCACAAAGCTACACAAGGGCTTTCTGTGCTCTGCCCACCACGGGTATCGAAAACCGGTTTCTAGCGTTGTAAGTCCGCAGACGTACCGCTGTGCCACGGGGGGGCCAACGCTATACAAAAGGCTATCTGTGCGATCTGCCCAACATACATCCGCAAACATACTTTATTTAATTAAAAAACTGTTGTGCCTACTTTGTCCATTGGGCGCTTTTTATTTTCTCTTAAGTAAGATCTACCGGAACCATAGACGCCAGAACTAAAACTGCGGCAAACACAGATGGCTATCTTTAACGTTTAACTATATACATTTTGATATATTTCAATCCACTATCTTCATTTATTTGCTAAATATAGAAATTGCATCTGTGTCTTTTTTTTTTTTTTAGATTATGAAGAACGGCCTTTTGTTTCTGTCTAACAAATTCCTATTTGTTTCGTTTTCTTTCAATATTGACTTCGTTCAACTCAAGACTATAGCTTATTACACAACTAAGGTCATATCTTTATCTCAAAGATACCAGCCGCTCAAGAAAAAAAAGAGAGAGAGAGAAAACCTAGAATCAAGTGGCGCATGGAAGACAAGGTGCCTATGGTGACACAGATACATCGATGACAACTTTATATTGTTACGCCTCTGGTCGTTAGTTAATTTTCCGTAAAAATTCTTTCCGAAGAAACTTTAGCGATACAAGACCTTTCTTAAATAAAACGGGTTTATTCTTTCTGAATACAACTTTGCAACACACTTAATTTCCATTGTCGCACTATAACAAACGCTATAATTCACAACGAACGTCTCACGTGCTCGACTCAACTGTCAATTACACCTTGTTGCCGGCACTTCTCGGCGACTTATATATATACAAGACTACCGCATATCTAGTAAAAGCTCGAGACTTCAAGAATCTTCGAGAATATGACGTGTTACTAGCATCACGTGACCCCCGCTGTCGTAACAATATAAAAATTATAAACATTGGCAACATTAGAGGTGTAACCTAATTCATCTGATGTAAAACAGGTATTTATCTGAAAAAATCTAGAATAAATAAACACGATTTCATTAGTAACAGTAATAATAATCCTACGATGGGGTTCGACCCCGAATTCTAGCATTATCATCTCATAATGTACCTGTGTAAACAATTATCTGGGTAATTACTTATCGGTTGATTTACTACCTCGTGACGTTACGTCATCGGTCAAGGGTTAACAGATTTTATCTGTCAACCTTCAGTGAAGACGACTATGTCCAAAAAAAAAACGATAAAAGAATTATGGATTATTTTTATTCTTCTTTCTTCCGTAAATATGTATAGTAAATTATTTGTTTGTTGTGAAGCACAAAGCTACACAATGAGCCACCTGTGCTGTGTCCAACAAGGCCATCGAAATCCAGATTTTAACATTATAAACTTTCAGACTTACTGCTGAACCACTGGAAGGCTTGTACTACAGACTTCATCTTAGTGAACAATGTAAATTGCTGTTAAACTGGCAATACGTTACGCTCATTTCTACAAAAACTCTACAGGTTGTCTATAGACGAGAACTAGTGTTTATGAGTTCCCCAACTGCCGTGTTTTTTGTTCATTTCATTAATAATATTAATATGCTGCTTATTATATCGAATATAATTACGCTTATTTTATTCTAATTTGTCATTAATTATTAAACTTGTATTATAAAAATTGATTTGCATAGTTAGATTAGAATTTGTATTTAGTACCAACCTCATTCTACAAAGATGGCCGAATATTGTGAGATATTAATAATGGCTGGAGACGGCTTAAATGGGTAATAAAGAAAACCTTTAATATAAGTTTAACATGACAGC